GCTGGTTGACGCTGCCTGCTGACCTCCACCCCCACTGACCTCCACCCCCGCTGACCTCCACCCCCACTGACTGCCACCCCCACTGACCTCAATCTCCATTGACCTCCACCCCCGCTGACCTCCATCCCCACTGACCTCCTCCCAGTGGGTCGGAAAGGCAGCCAGGGGGATAGAGACAGCCTGGTGGACACCTCTGGGGCAAGGCTGGGTCACAGGGATGGGGACAAGCTGCCCCCTGCAGGCTAGGTCACAGGGACAGGGACAAGGTGCCCCCTGCAGGCTAGGTCACAGGGACAGCAACAAGGTGCCCCCTGCAGGCTGGGCCACGGGGACAGGGACAAGGTGCCCCCGTCAGCTCTGGGGCTCTAGGACGTGCATCCTTGCATTTCTCTGATGGGCATCAGCTGGCCCACAGCCCCTGTGATGTGGATGTTAGACCTCACACCGTGGTGGGAGCATACTTGTGGCGGGGGCCACTCTGGGGAAGTGTGCTGGGGAGCCGCCCCCTGCTCTCTCCCTCCCTGTGCCCCTAGCCTCTGGGAGGGGGGACCCCAGTGCTGCTCAAGGAGGTGTCTCCTCCTGCCACCTTCTCCTCTCTGCTCCGAGCCATCCTGGCTCTTGAGAGTAGCCCCAGCTCTGACATGTGCACCCCAAATCCCAGGGTCAGATCCAAACTGCCCCCAGGCCCCCCAGACCACCCGTGGGGGCTGTTGATAGCCCTCTCTAGCTCCTGCTGGGACAATGTGTGACCCGCCTGCCCCCAGGAGCTGCAGAGTCTCTGTGCAGAGCTGTACCTGAGACGCAGGGTTCAGTTTAAGGATGAAATTCAGAGCAGTTGAAAAGTTCAGGGGAAGGCATGAAATGAGGTCGATGGATGTTCTGGACACAGACAAGCTCTTCCTTCTGTATTTCCTTTCAAAAATGTGCACTAGCTCCTTTAAGTTTTAAAAATCAGCAGACAAGAAGCCAGATCAGCAAAAGCATCCTTTATCCACTAAAGAGCCTGGGGGGGGGGGAGGGCGCCCCTCCCCATTAAGGCAGTGAGGACGGCGAGTCCTCTCGGTCCCTAAGTCCAGCCCAGGTGCAACAGGAGGGGGTCAGCTCCAGCTTTGGGAGGGGGTGGTCAAAGACACTATAAAACCAAGCCAAACCTGTTGCCGTCGAGTCGGTTCTAACTCAGAGCGACCCTACAGACAGACTTTAAAACCAGCGCAGCTCCAAGCTGGGCTGGTCCTCGGCCACATCCCTGGCCCAGGCTGCACCTTCCCAGACTCCTCTCGGCTTCCTTATCCCCCTCCTGCAACGTCACACTGCTCTGAGTTCAGAACAAGTGCCGTGATTTCCTGCTGCTCCTGACACTTGCGCCCCGTCATCTTGAACTGTATGTGCACATCCATCTTTCTTACCTCTAGTTTTCACCAGCCGGTAGGCAGGCATCGCTGATCAAGTCTCCTTCACCCACCCCATCTGGGAGCTGCCGTGCTTGACAGAGTTGCTATTCCATAAACACTGTTTGAATGAATGTATCGATGGGTGGGTAGCTGGCTGGACAAAGCGCTGGCTGGTGGATGAATGATTGGATGGGTGAATGGATGTGGTGAAATGATTTTTTTCATGTGGCCCCTTGCCTTGTTTCTGTGAAACACAGAGAAAAAGAAAACAGCTTGGGAGATTTTTGCCCCCAGAGCCCAGAAGAGTTGTTACAATTACCCTTGTTACAGTTGCCCTAGTCCTAGGAAGAATTTTGTTACTTTTGCCCCAGGAAGAAGCCAGTCCCTGCTGGCAGAAAATGTCAGTTATGCAAATAGATGGAGCCACTTGCGAGGGGATGGGCCAGTTTAGTCCAGTGAGGGGATTAGTCAGTTATTATGCAAATAGGGTGCATAAAATCCACCTAAGAGAATTGGGCCACTTATCAGCAGAGCTAAAAGAACTGTAACACTTGACCGAGCAGGGCAGGGGTCAAAAGGAGGCCTGTCCTAAGGGGTCTGAGAGGAGGCTTGCATGGCTGGCCAAGAGAGAGAGACAGAGAGACAGAGAGAGACAGAGAGAGCTGTCCTACACTAAATAAGGGAGGGATGTACTCTTCACTTTGGGGGAGCCTTCCAGACCTTCCTGTGTGCTTCCTGACATGGATCCTGCTCCTGTTATTTCCAAGTTAATCCTGATCCCATGTTACTTCCCTAATAAACCATATAACTGTATGATCTGTGAGTTCTGTGTGGCCATTGCAACAAATTATGGAATGAAGCAGAGAAGTAGGGAGTGCCTTGTGGAGGACAGCTGGTGTCAGAATTGCTAAAAAGTTTGGAGAGTAGAGGTATGTTTGACCTCCACCTCGTAGGAATCAGCTTTGGGCTAATGCTGATGCTTATTCTCATTCTCCCTGGAGTTAGACAAGGTCCTACACTATTACTATCGCACTACAATGGACAAATGGATGGACGGATGGATGGATGGGGTGGATGGGTCGATGGATGTATGGATAAATGGATGAGTGGATGGATGGATGGGTGGATAAGTGGATGGATGGATGAATGAATGGGTGGGTGGATGGGTGTATGAGTGGATGGATGGACGGGTGGATGGATGGATGAGTGGATGAATGGATGGATGGGTGGACAAGTGCATAGATGGGTGGGTGGACGAATGAATGGATGAGTGGATAGATGGATGAGTGGACGAATGGATGGATAGTAGATGGATGGATGAATGGAGGGATGAATGGATGAGTGGGTAGATGGATGGGTGGATAAGTGGATGGATGGATGAATGGATGAGTGGATGAATGGATGGATGGATTGGTGGATGGATGGGTGGGTGGATGAGTGGATATATGGATGAGTGGATGCATGCATGAGTGGATGAATGGGTGGATGAGTAGTTGGTTGGATGGGTAGATGGATGGATGGATGGATGGGTGGATGGATGGATGGATGGATGGATGGATGATGGATGGATGGATGAATGATGGATGGATGGATGGATGGATGGATGGGTGGGTGGATGGGTGGATGGATGGGTGGATGGAGGGATGGATGAGTAGATGGATGGATGGGTGGATGGATGGATAGATGGATAGATGGATGGATGAATGGATGTATGAGTGGATGGATGGATGGGTGGGTGGATGAGTGTATGGATGGATGGGTGGATAGATGAGTGGATGGATAGATGAGTGGATAGATGGATGGATGAGTGGATGGATGGATGGATGGATGAGTAGATGGGTGGATGGATGGATGGTTGAGTAGATGGACAGATGAGTGGACGGATGAGTAGTTGGATGGGTGGTAAGTGAATGAATGGATGGTTGAGTGGATGGATGGATGGACTGGTGGGTAGGTGGATGGATGGATGAATGGTTTGACATTAGATACCAGGTTAAACTTGGCAGAATCCTCTCCCCTCCACACTGAGTTGGGGAAGGTGGCTATAGGTGGTCATGGTGCCTTGGTCATGAAAAGTCTTGGGTGTGATCAAAGAATGAGACAACTCGACGGGAAGCTTTTCTACCCCATTGAGTTTTTCTTCTCAAAAACATAAAACAGGTAAAGTCTCAATACACACTAATCCTAAGGTATATGTTTAAATGCTTTTAAACATTTGCATTTAAACATTAAATTTGCAGAAATTCTTTTAAAAAGCCAACTGTTTTGCATTCACCATTAGCTGCTCTAACCACTGCTTCCTCTGCCTCTGGTTTGCTCTCAGGCGTGGGAAGAACACCTGGTTCCCGCGAGCCCAGCCCCGCCTGCCTCGGAGCCCTGGAGCCCCCTCCGCTGGCTCGCTGAGGTGGGTGGCACAGTCCACTGGAGTTGTCAGAGGTCTGCGAGGCCCCTGTGGGTGGGCGGTGCCTGGAGGCACGTCACCCTGGCCGACTCAGGAGTCCTGGGTCTGCTTAAGGCAGACATTCTGGTGGGCTCTGCGGACGCAGACACTCCGAGCTGGCTGGGCTTCTGTCTCTTCGGGTCTGTAGGAACTAGAGAGCGGCCTGCACGCTGTGTCCTTCTGTGCGTCTTTGCTGTGGCCCCTTCCTGCCTGGCTAGCATCCCGGCTCCGCAGGGCGTGCATCTGTGCCGCACAGGACGTACACCTCTTCTCCTCCCAGTCCCGAGTGCTGAGGCTTCGCAGGTAGGAAAACACATTTTAGATTCTTTGGGAAAGGAAAGTTTTGGGAAGGTTTAGGCATTTTAGCAATTGCAAAAGCTTTTTTAAAAAATTCCGGTTCTGAGAAGTTGCTTCTACTTTTACCAACCATCTAGGTATACTGCCCGGTCTCTGGAAAGGCGAGGAAAAGTCCAGACGAGTGATCATGTCACGTAAGGTGGCCTGGTGTCTGGACAACAAATACACATCACGCATCTCAGCACAAGGTAACAGTGACTATTTCCCCACAACGCTTCAAGTGCCGGCAGCCTTTGTCAGCACGGAGGCCAGTCTGTAGGGAACACACCAACCCACTGCCAAGTTCTCCACAAGTCATCTAAGACACACTGTTGTCTGAAGACAGGGGAAGCCAATCCAGGATCTTCCTGTCCCCACCCAAGTGGACGGGTGCTGGCCAGCCTGTCTGGTGTGTGCCACAGCCCCCAGCCGCCCGTCCACTGCCGCTGTCCAGCGTCAGCACGTAGACGCTCGCGCAGGAATTGGTGTGGACCCCGGAGCATGGGTCCCTGCTGGTCATCGTTTGGATGAAGACAAAGAAGAGCCCATCCCCCGCCTACTCGCCAGCCCGACTATGAAGCAGACTTCACTGCCATGACGGGTCTGCGGGTAAGGTGCGCACAGGATATAACGTGAGGGGCTGGAATTAAACGTGCCCCCAGGAAGCCTTTGCCAGACGAATGTCCCGCAGGGGTAAAAATGCACACTGCACACCCATGTGGCTCATGACAAGCTGTATTTGGTGCTGGGGGTTTGAAGACACTATTTCAACTTTAAAACGTGTTCTTCTCTGCATTTATGGCCTATGTCTTCTAAGTGTTCTTTTGGCTTTTTTAAATTTTCCTCTTGGCAAGGAAGAAATCTGCAAGTCCTATCATGCCGTTCTTTCTAGACTCTCTGGATCGGAAACAGAAAAGACGCTTGTTAATGGTTCCTCGTGGCACACACAACAGAACGCTCGTGAAAGCAGGAGACTGTACAAGCTCGGCCTCGACTAGGCATCCCTGTGGTCTCTCACCAGTAACTCCCACCTCCCGGAATAAGGCATCCCTAGTTCCTTGTACAGAAATGGACATTGGGCTCCAGGTGAAAAGATCAGTACTGCATGTATGGATTTTTCTCTAATGAAAAATTTTAGTCAATGAAATTCTCCTTCCATTTGAGAAGGCGGTCTGGGGAAACTCGCGGGCTGCCGTAAGCCCAGGAGACCAGCACTGACCACACCCGAGCTTTTGCGTCTGTGGACATCTGCGTTCCTTACAGGCAGTGAGCAGTAAGGCCACATGGTGATGATGTTCACAATCCTAACACAAACGGGCCACTCAGCTTGCACGTCCACAGGGGCATGAGGGCACAGATCACAGTCAGTGGCAGGACGGACCCATCCTTGGCCATAGACAGCAAGTCTCCCCCAGCGGCCGAGGCTGCTGTGGTCAGAGGTGTCCAGGCTGGAGGCCGTCCTGTCCCCCATCTGCACGGGATGCGCTTTCTCACTCTCCTCATGCACTGGAATCATCTTTAGCTGGGGTCCATCCAAGGGCTATAGAGCCAACATCAGCACACACGCCACCCCATGCCCAGGAAGGGGCTGCTCCCACCCTCCGATGCCTCCAGGCCCGGCAGGCTGGGTCCTCCCACACCACCCCAAGTCGGCCCGAGGGGCTCTCAGCTCCTCCAGGGTCCCCAGCCTGACCTGCTCCAGAGCCAGGCAAGACCCTGGCTCTTTCCCCAGCCAGGCCTGCAGCCACTGCCTGGCCTGGGCTGGCCTCTCGGTGAGCAGCTTGCAAAGCCCAGGGACCTCAGTGCAGGGGGCCAGGACAGCACGTTCTCCCAGGACAGCTGGGGGCTACACCCTGCCGCAGTCTGAGACATTCCCATGCCGCCTGCCCTGGACCTCAGGGTCCCAGGAGAAAGCAGCCTGTTGAGGTAGGTGCCGCTGCCCAGATGCCTCAGATGGCAGGTGTACAGGTGTGCACACAGTGGAGGCGTGCAGCTGTGTGCCTGGGTGTGCACGCAGTGCAGGTGTGAGGGTGTTGGGGGTGTGCAGGTGTGCGTACAGTGGAGGCGTGCAGGTGTGTGCCTGGGTGTGCACACAGTGCAGGTGTGAGGGTTGCAGTTGTGTGGGTGTACAAGTGTGTGGGTGTGCATCCAGTGAACGTGTGCAGCTGTTCAGGTGTGCAGGTGCACACACAGTGCAGGTGTGCAGGCGTGAGGAGGGCATGCCCCCCTGCCTGAGCGGCTCAGGGACAAGGGGCGGCAGGGGGGTGGCTGCCCGAAGACCCCAGGAGGCGTACTCACATATTTTCCTTCAAGGTGTCAAGGTAGGACTCTGTGTCCGCACGGGGCAAGTCTGCATCCAGGCCAGCCAGGTAGCGGTATACATAGGAGAAGGTCTTGAAGGGGATGCGTGCGGGCCCACCCTCGGGGTCGGCCGTCAGGATCTGACAGAGGTTCTTCATCGCTGAGTTCAGGGACTGGAACACACGGGGGGAGGGGTTATGGCTGTGGGTCACCAATCACAGAGCAGAGGGTACCCAGACACTCCACAGGGCACGGCTCAATCTGGGGAACCAGGTGAGTTTGTAATTGACATAAAGGACGAGATGGAAAGGGAGGGCTGAGATAAGGACGCAGCTGGCCTGAAGAAGATTCTGATTCAGAACTTATGTCAAGGCAGGAACGACTCTCAAGGCGGCACGGAAGCTTCTTTAAGGCTGGACCATCAGCTGGAGCAGAACGTCCAGCCCTCGGGCCCACGTCTGTCCATATCCCATCCACGCCTGTCCACATCTCATCCACACCTCGTCCATGCCTGCCCACCCCCGTCCATGCCCATCCATGCCTGACCACCCCCCGTCCATGCCCATCCACGCCTGTCCACATCTCATCCACACCTCGTCCATGCCTGCCCACCGCCCGTCCATGCCCATCCACGCCTGTCCACATCCCATCCACACCTCGTCCATGCCTGCCCACCCCCGTCCATGCCCATCCATGCCTGACCACCCCCCATCCACGCCCATCCAGTTCTGTCCACCCCGTCCAGGCCCCATCCATGCCTCGTCCATGCCTCATCCACGCCTGTCCACATCCCATCCAAGCCTTGTCCACACCTGCCCACTCCCGCATCCATGCCCATTTAGGTGTGCCCACCCCCGTCCACGCCCCATCCATGCCTGTCCATGCCCCATCCATGCTTCGTCCACACCCATCCACGCCTGTCCACATCCCATCCACACCTGTCCACATCCCATCCACACCTTGTCCATGCCTGCCCACCCCCGTCCACGCCCATCCATGCCCACCCACCCGTCCATCCACGCTCATCCAGTTCTGCCTACCACCGTCCAGGCCCCATCCATGCCTGTCCACATCCCATCCACGCCTTGTCCACACCCGCCCACCACCCTGTCCACGCCTATCTAGGTCGGCCCCACCCCCTGTCCATGCCCCATCCGTGTCTCGTCCACGCCCCATCCACCACCGTCCACACTCAGCCATCCCATCCAGGCCTGTCCATGCCCATCCACTCCCTGTCCACACCGGTGTACCCCGTCCACACCCATCCAGGCCCGTCCACCCCATCCACCCCCATCCACTCCCTGTCCACACCCGTCCAGGCCCCATCCTGGCCTGTCCACACCTTTGCGCCTGCTCACACAGCAGGCTCGGGCATGGCCTCAGTTTCGGGAATGCACTGCGCCTTCCACCCCTTTCGACCTCACACTTTGCTCAGGCTTGTTCCCTCTGCCCAGCTCGGCCTGGCTGATGGTCCACCCTGGCCGTGTCCCCCCATCGTTCACTACCAGCCAGGACGCCTATCCTCAGGGACACACCCACACCCACTCACAGAACTTTCTGGAGACTCTGACCCCGCCCGGCAGGCCCTCGAGGCTAGGGCAGCTCCCAGTCCAAGCCCTCGTCCTCACTACAGCTCTCGCCTCTGACCTGCTGGATGAAGGAAACCCCACAAGAGGCTGCTATCTCCCCAGCTGCGTGCACAGGCCAGAGCCTCTGCCTCTTCCTGCAGGCTGGGAGCCGGGTGCTGGGCGCTGGGCAGGTCCTCCTGCCCTCCTGGTATCACAGGTGGCCACAGGCTGCGCCTCGTCTGCCCTGAGCGACACTGTCGGTGGCCAGTGCGTCCTGGGGCAGGAGACAGACATACCCAACGACGGACTCCTGGTGGCTGTCTGCACTGGGCCTGCCACAGGCCCTCCTGCGGCGCCTTCCATTTGGGGGCTGGGCCCCACCTGGCATCAGGGGTGTGGAGGGGGGTGTGGAGCAGTGAATGCGGGGTGCTGGGGGAAGGGGTATCCTCAGTGGGGAGCACAGGGGGAGGTGGCTGAGCAAAGACGGGGGGAGGAGCCGGCCCTGTGGGGCTTTGGGGAGCTCAGGTATGGCCGCAGGCGCGGGGCCAGGGCAGGTGGTAGTTCCCCAGCCAGGAGCAGCTCAGGGGTGTGGGGCGGGGAGGGGCACTTACTGTGATGTCCAGATGCTGCGCAGGACAAGGCACTTTAACCCGCAAGCAGCCCCGCCCTCAGTGAAGGCGTAAGACACCCCCAGGGCTGCTGGCTTTGACAGTACAGTCTGCAGGCATTTTTATACCCGAGGAGTCGTAAACAACTTGCTTGATTTTGACCGAGACTTGTTTCTTATAAACACACTTCTCCACCCAAAGGGCCCCGTCCTTCGCCCCCTGGTCCTTGGATGCATCCCCCATCCCTGGGAGGAGGCTGCTGGAGATGCCCTTGGTCTTCAGCCACGACTTCACACCTGACCATCATCTGAGGACAGTGGGGACATGGGACCACACGGCCATGAGGCTCTGGCCGTGCCCTGGGCACTTCCTGCGCTGTCCTGGGGCCTCACCCCCAAGTGTCGGCTGGCCGCATGACCAAGGACCAAAGTCTGTGTTTTGGTCAAGGGTGGAAAGGGAGACGTCGTGGGCGGCATGTCCAGATGGATGCTGCATCACCCGCAGGCATGCGCACAGTTGAGACACAGCCAGTGGCCCTGTGGTCAGTATAGTCAAAAGCCCTTGAACATCCACCCAAGGCCTTTGTCTCGCCCGGGCTGGTCTCTGTCATGACGTGTCTTCTCAGTCAGTGGGGGTACAGAGATTGGGCCTTGCTCCGGAAAGTTCCTGTGTGTTTAAAAGTTCTCCACGTTTTAAAAAACCAAGCGAAGAATCTCAGCCCACGCTTTAGCTCAGGCGCGTCAGAGCTGCCACGGGAGATACTCGCCGCGCACACAGCGTCTCACGCCCAGGGTGGCAGGCCAGGGTTGCAGGAAGGCGGCGTCACCACATAACACTCCAGCACCTCACGGCGCAGCTTCAACGCAGCCACAAGGGCAGCGCCCCACACTGCAAGGATGTCCGTGAACACAGCTCCTAGCGGACGGTCTGTCTGTCCTGTCCCCTCAGACCTGGCCACACTTAGAATGGGGACGTGGCACATAGCAGAAGGAAGGACGCCCTGACTCAAGAGCGTGAGCAGAGGCTCTGGCCTTTCAGAGCCTTCAGCTTGTGTATTTGCTATGAGCCAAGCGAGGCGACGGCTGGAGCCGCTGATAGGTGGCAGCACCCATGTGGGCCTCCCCCGTGGAGACACGGGACCGGGCAGGCCCACGAGGCACGCCTTCCCACCACGCGCTGCTCTCCACTTCCTCCGTTTACAAGGTACCTTCACAGCCTAACAGTAAGCGTGATGACGCCAAGCCATGTGGGGAAACGCTTTCTTGAAGTCACACCTTTCTGAGGGCATCCAGGCGGCCCAGGCCACGTCGGCATCCACGGTGTCAGCAATGCAGGTATACACACCTGGGCCAGGTGCGCAGCCCGACGAAGGGGATCCGAACCTGCCCTCTGCACTCTGAGCCCCATGTGGGAGGGCGGGAGCTCGGGGCCAGTGGGGGTCAGGCTGCTGTGAGCACGCTCTCGGTATGAGTGTGTCTTCTCAGGACCAAGCAGTGGTTGTAGAGAAACAGTAAGACAACAAGCTGCCTCCCTGTCCTGCCTGCTGGGCCTTGCCTCCCTGCACCGCCTCCTTGCCCTGCCTGCTGGGCCCTGCCTCCCTGCCCTGCCT